GGGGGGGGTGTGAAAATACACTGTGTAGGCAGTTACATGGGAGTTTTAGCTGAAAGAAGTCTACCACATAGCACTTTTATTGAAAAGTCTTGCATGAGGCATTTAAAAGAACAGCTATGGTAGATGTCTTTGGAATAGTGTTTGAACATATTTAGGTGGGTGTATATGTGCACATACGTTTATCTCATGTATCTGCCCTGAAGAGGTCAGTGACATTGAGAGTTGGTGATCTCTGCAAAACGTTCTTGTATTAGAAATATTACTTGAGATCATGTTTACTGAAAACCAAGTTTTTAGACAAAAAATAAGTTTTTGTCCTGAACCAACAAAGAATAAAACACATAAAACTTACCAAGTCAGTTGCGTCCACATTCTACTAGCTTGTTGCACATTAACGCAAATGCTAGTGAACACTGACAACCATGCTACAGTGTAAAACTTGCCTTGTTACTGCAGGGTGACTTGAGTGCATTTTCAAGTGCACGTTGAGCCTTTTATGTTTTGAAAGTGGAGAAAAATGTAAGTATCCTGCTTGTAAAAGGTGTGGTGCGCTCTCAGCTGCCATGAAACGCAGCACCTTGCAGGATCCAGCCTTTGCCTGGCAGTGTCCAGGGAAGTTTTGTACTGGTTGCATTACTTAGCTAATTTCTGTGTTGTGGCACAATAGGTGGTGAACATGTGAACAAATTACCCTTGTGACTTTATCTAAATTTACAGCGATGTGGAAATTCTAAGTTTAGAGCTACAAGGAAGTTTTATTTAACAATGGGCTCTCCCCCTTTTGTTCTAAGCGTGTACAGTAAACTGTTTTTTTTTTTCTAATAGGATTAGATTATTGTAATTGTTTCACCTTCTGCAGTCCTGAAGTGAGTTTTCAGTAATCTTTCCACTCCTCCCACCCAGAATCAGTGCCTGATGTGCAAGGTGGGGTTTCTGGGGATTAATCATTATAACATCCCTTTGTTTAATATCCTGCTTAACACCCTTTAACTCATGTTCCAAGACTTTGAGTGTCTTATGTGTATCATGAGAATCCAAGGTGGTTATATTTTCTCTTGAACTCTAGTGTACTTTTTTGTTTTGTTGGCAAGGCACAGAGATAAGGAACTCCTTCATGAAAGGTGTGGCATTGAATTGCATGATAGTGTTGAACACTTTAATTACTTTATCTGCTCTTGGGATGAAAGGAACGTGAATTCTCCTATTCAGTCATACCCCCTAGACAAGTTGTTGCTGCTCACAATCCCTAGCCAAGGGTCTAGGTCAAATTTTGAAATGCATTGTTACCACTGAACCATCATGTGATTAAAATGGACTTCTGTTACTTCTTATTATTTGACTCAAAAATAAGAGTAGGCTTTTGAAACAGAGAAATGTCTGATTCCAGTTTTTCATTAGCTTTGCCATTATATTAAAAAGAGAAAGTCTCATTAAGCCAATTTTAAAACTGTTTCTAGTGTAACATTAATTGTGGCACGTTCTAAATCCTTATTGCTCCTGGGAACTATAATTCTGTTCTGCTGCAAGGAGGCCTGGTTTCTTAGTCCCTCGGTTTCAAAAATATAGTATACAAACAGCATGGCAGAAAAATGCTACACAAAATATGTAATGTTGTTACTTTGTTAAATAAGCAAAGATTTGTTGACTCACTGCCTCAATGCTTGGAGCCCTTTTGTATTTTGGAAATGCTGTGAGTTATTGTTCTGTGATGGGGTTCTGTGATAACATCTGATGTTGTGATCTAGCAACAGAAAGTTTTGTAAAACTGTATCAGAAGTCTTGCCTTTACGTAACTTTAAACAGACTGAATATATTTCAGAATACGTCCATATATTGGCAATTTAATGACATGCATTCAAACTGCTTACTGATATTATAATGTGTTGCTGATCTACTTAATATTTATACCTTCACAACTTAAGAAACTACAAAAAGACTCCTTTATGCAGACTTAGTTTGCAGGTTTTGCCCCAGCTTTTATTGTTTCCAAGAGCATGCGAAGGTTCCCCATGCTGTTACTATTACCTTTCATGGTTTCTTGCTTTTATCTGTGTTTAATTTAGAGTTGTTGAATTCTGTCTTGGCTTTGAGCAGATCTTGTGGTAATGACTACTTTCTCCTAAACATTGCCGCCAAGATGCGGTTTAGCCTGTTGGAGGATAATTCTGGGATTTCTAAGGGCATCGTACACTCAGAAATTTAAGATTCTGTAATGTGTAACATTGGAGCACATAAACTGAATAAAAAAATGGCTATGTGTATACTGTTATTCAGAAATAAATTGGCTTTCAGGTTTGTCTGCTGAGCTTTAAATTAATTAGTGTAGAGCTCAGGATGCAATGGCTTCTGGTGTACATACCCACCTTCATTATGTTAGCCATCTGTGCTATGTTGACACCCACAGTCACAGTGTGTATTTTCTGGTGCTTAATAGAATAGTCTCTCAACTGTTCTGTTAAATATTAATTTAATTTATCATCAGAATTTGATCTTTACGTTTGCTTTTTATTTGTCTTGGACCATCTTTAAAAGCTGCTTGTAAAAGTGAGTATGTGATATCGTAGCTCTAATTCAAAAGTTTAGTTATAAAATTGAGCTACATTAGATAACTGTACAGTGACAATTTATCAGACACCCTCTGATCCCCCATCACTCAGCACCTGGCAATAAAATCAGTAAACTGCAGTGTGAAAGCACACTTCAGCTAGAGAGTATATCAAAAGAAAGAGAGCTTAATCACAGACCTAATCGCAGGACTTCAAGCCATTATGTTAAAGGACTTAGCTGCCAATGTCTGCTGCAGCCTGCGAGCAATGGTGAACAGGGCACCAATTGTGTTATTTCAGCGGTGGAATGATGGCATGTCTGTCGAAGCTCTTTTTCTGTACAAGGAGGCAGAGGAAGGACACGCTCACGCTCAGTTACCTGGTATGTTAAATAACATCAGGGAGCAAGGCTGGCAGGGAGAGGTACTTCCCAGAAACTGGTGTTCTCTGTCTGACAGAATGTGTCAACCAGAATATTTGAAGAAGTGGAACCTGGGGAAACCAAGGCGATCTGTGAGGAGAAGTTAAATACATCATGTATGCAGAGAGCTGGATGAAAGAGCAGGGTGATGCTCTGACTGTAACATGTAAGACTGTACCCAGGTACAGTGTAGGCAGTCTTCTAAAAAGTATCCTTGCAGAAAACTGTTAGCTCTTGATGCTGCATTAACACACCATACAAAAAAAAAAATTCCACTAGACTATTTATAAAGCTCATCCTTGCAATTTTTAATTTCTTTTTCAAACTACAGTATATTGAGGACTTTGGAGTGTGGGGGGTTTTTTGTTTTGCTTGGTACAGAAGATTGTTGCCTAGTCTACAAGTGTTTATTTGTGTTTTTCCATTATCTGGGTTATTTTTCACACCTACCCAGCTTCCCAGGTAATTAGGAGCTGATGGTAACTTACCTTGCCTTGGAGACAGAAGCAGCTTGAACATCTTCCTGAGGTCCTATACAGCCTTATGTTTTATGGCTGAGCATCTAGAGAATACATCTTTAGGAGGATGAAGAGGATGAACAATCTGGAATCTTCAAAGCACTTACAGAAGAACTAGTTTTTTTATTAAATCCATGCACGAACAAATACATTAAGGAAAAATTTTACTCTAAACCTTAGAGCAATGTGTGGATTATTGGCAGTATTTCTGTAACTGCTTCAGTTGTTCACATATAGGCATCTAATGTCTCTTAAGATTAACTACAGCATTGGAAGGACTTGCACAAGGCTGTCAGATATGACTTGGGACCTGTGGGAGGCTTGTGCCCTTTCAGAGCCGCAGTGGAAGACCAGGCAGGATATTTCAAAGTAGAACTGGATGGTGCTGTGGGCTGAATTGAGCCCTTTGTGTGTGTACTTTTTATCTCTGCTTGAGCAATGAGAATAACTAAATCAAAACAAAAATTATGTTTTTTAAGCCATTTGATACAGAGGTCATTGAACTTGAAAAAAGGCAAGCCTGTAGAGCTCTGGGGAAGCCGATACCTACTTGGTCTGAGTGATGGTAGTCTCGTTGTTTTGCACCAGACGAAGACTGGAATCAGTCGGCCATTTCCGTCGTAGGAAATACCTTCCCTGTAGACACTTCCAATGCTTTTTTCCTCATGCTGTTTTTGCATCTGTCCAAGCATCAATATTATTGGCTAATCTTTGTGGCAGAGGGTATTTCTTACTTTGGCTATTTAAAACTATTTGAGTCTAAATCTCACTAGAGCAAAACTGGTTTTCCTTTTCTTTGTGCTCTGGGGCTCATCAAAGTTCAGCGGCCATTGTTTTTAATGGAGTTTATGTCAGGCTCTCTACTATTACAATATACCTTATTAGAATGATTCATTTACTTTTCTGACAGTCTTTTACATTTACTGTCACAACCTGTTTCAAAAGCAAAGCACATTTTCTTCATCTGGGGTGGGTCTTATTTAGGGTATCTTGTGCAGCACAGAAGAGAATTCTTTTCAGTAGCAAAACACAACCAAAAATCTTGTTCTTGTATTACTACTTCTGGGTTGCTGGAGGAGTCCCTCAAACTTTAAAATTTCCTGGCTTGTAGCTCTGTAGAAGCTACAGAACTTCCATGAAAGCTGAATCACCCATTGTTATACTAGAAATAGGCACAGGCGAGTGAATTCTTGGTACTTTTCACTTGAGAGGTTGATCACATTTGGTTTTTGTGGAATAAAGTCAACAGAGGATTGTTACCTTCTTGTATGATGTTTGTATCCTAAAGTACTGATTCCAAGAATTTTGTATCAGCCCCATATTGTCAGCTTTAAAGCTTCCTTGCAAACCTGAGTAGCTGCTGCTGCTGCTTCACGTTGCTCTAAAACCAGCTGCTGTCATACCCCCATCGTCTCACCTTTCAGGAACCACTGCTTGAGGAGGGGTTTTGAATGCCCAGAAATAAGGAATTTTTTTTTTCTTGAATGATTAAAAATTATGCCTCTATTTCTTTAAAAAGAGTAATAAAATGGTTTGGGCTTTTTTTTTCCTTCTGGGGGAATAAACAGCAACAAATTAGTTCAGTGTTTTTGTCAAGGTAGAGGGACATGCTGCAAAGTGTTGAATATGCATATGGGCATTTTGATCTCATGGAATGCTAGTATTATATTCAGGAAAGACTATGAATTGTTTTAAGGTGTACTTACTTTATTTTTACTGCTAGTTGTCATAGTCTAACTTAAATTTATGCTTTTATTACTGTCAGATGATACTGATACATAACAGGATCCAGACAAGTTTTCTATCAAGTTTCCTACTATCCTCTTTGCTTGAATGATAACTTTCTTGTGCCCTTTCTTTTCTTTTTTTTGGGATTGACTTACCTTAAGTTTCGGTTTTGTTTTTTCTTAAAACAAGGGTAGCATTTTCTTAGCCTCCAGTGTGGCTGAGAAATGCCATCAGGTTGGGTTTTTTTTAGTCTGTACTGTATGACTAGATTGAATTGGGCAGATCTGCAAAAACTAAAACTCCAAACTTCATACCAGCTGCTTGTTAAGGACAGAGCATTGCGTCTCTTCAGACTAGCATGCAGTGTTCTATGAAGATACTAATGACTGAAATTTTTCCTGAGCCTTTATTAGGTCAGGCAAGGAATAATTATTTGGGGTTGGAAATTTGAAGGAGAACAACTTTTGAGATGGATACTGTACTTTTTGGGGTAGCATTTGTGGAAAAAGTGGTAGGGGTTTTTTTCTTCTCTCAGGATTCTTTAGTTTCTGGTTATATCAAAAGTTTAGGTGAGTTTGTCTTTAGGTGTGTGCTTTTTTGGTGGAAAATGCTTGTACATTACATGTGCAGTACTAAGAGTTATTTATCTGGACAGTACATATCATCCAAGTGATTACTGAAGTGAGAACTAAATATGAAGTGAAAACTCCTTGGAACCTGGGCTCAAATAACATGCATGTTGCTGTTGCAGGATGACCATGACATCATGGAGGCAGATCTGGACAAAGATGAGGTTTTGCAGCCTCAACTGGGAGAGCTTGCAGGAGAGAAGCTGCTAACAACTGAGTACTTGGGAGTGAGTACCACCCGTTAGGATCTTGAAATAAATTAATTTTCTGGATTAAGAGTTTAATTTCAGTACTTGCATCACTTTCTAAAATCTTTTCTTCAATTTGTTACTTGAAGAGCCGGATTCTACCTGCATAGCAGTCCAATCTTTCACAGTCTGTTTTATTAGCTGCTGTTCAGAACAAGTAGAATAAGTTTGAGAACAGTAGCTACCATTTCACAGGAGGTGGTCAGGCTGTGGCTTAATAATAAGCTAAAGGCAGCCTTAGGGTTCTAGTGCTACATCAGTGACTCTGTGGGCACGCAAAGCCAAGTGCTGAGCAAGTTAATACTGGAACACTCTGCTAGTCTGAAATTATTTTGAAAAAAAAAGTTGAAAAGTTAACTGCTCCTGCAGGCGTTATGCCAGATCAAGTATTGTGCGTCTTACCTCAAGCAGCAAAAACCATTAAGTAAAAAAGCATAAAGTTTGTATGAATGCCATTTAGTGTGCTGTGACTAATTTGAGATAAATGTGACTGTATGCCTTCTGGATCCTGGAGTCCCTAGGTCTACCAGTGCTGATGATGGAAAAGTGACCTGAGATAAGATGTCATGGAACAGCCTACACTGATTCCAGGCAATTTTGTCTAGTGACACCAGAATGCAACTTAGTTTCTGATACAACGTTTCTACAGAATTTTCTCTATGGCTCCAGTTACTTGTCTTTCCGCTGTGTTATCTTTTTTTCTTTTTTCCCCCATTTCTTTATTTCCTGTGTATCAGATAATGACTCATACTCCAAAAACCAAGAAGAAGCTGTTTCCTGGTGTCCATCAGAGTGTAGATGAGCCTCTCCAGAGACCTGTGACACCAGGTTATCACAGAACTGTGTACCTAATGTAAGTCCAAACAAATGAGACCAAGTTACATTTTTTTAAGCTCCTTTAAAAAACAAAACAACAAAAAAACCTCCAACAATGCCTGATAAATAAACCTTTTCTACTGAAAAGTCCATTGCCATTGTCATTCCTTAAAGATAATTTCAAAAAAAGAAAGGGGAGGAATATTGTAGGCAGAGAAAGGTCCATTGGCTAAGGTCACATGCTGGGAATAGTTGAGTAAATGTTACCTGATCAGATTGATTTAAATTTGCATTATATCCTGTGTGTTCATAGTCCTCTCATCTTCTCATAATATATTCTATTGGTAAGTTGCATGGAGTGTCTAAAATGCCTGGGATCTTCCACTTTATAAGCAAGAAAGAATACTGCTCTGGGGAGATTTTCTAGACACCCATAAGAGGACAGATTAAAAAGAAAATGGGAAAGACAAAAATCTTGTTATGTTGGATTTCCTGCTTTGGAAGAAATACATTTTCCAGTGGGAGGGTCTGTGACCCTTGCTCTTCCATGATTTGGGTCAGAGGTAGAAGGCTGCTTTGTAAATGGAATAAAGAAATCTTATAGTATAGAGCTCCTTGAATGTGCTCTGCCTTCTGTTAGAACAAGTATATCTTAGTCTTTTAATTTCTGAGATGAGACTTCTCCTTTTCACTGTCCTGACTGAGGAAATAAAATACCAATGAGATCTCAAATGATTTTTTTACTTTCGGTTGCATACAGTTTTTGGATTTGATCAAATCCAGGTGGCTATGATACAGGCAGCAGTTTATCATGAGGATTTAATGTTTTCATTTCTGCAGATACTTAAGCCATGAGACTACAAGTCACTGTAATGAAGTATGGATAATAGTACTCAAAAGTCACGGTATTGGTATAGCTAAATGTGTTAAAATGAATGGGTAACATGAAATACAATAGTGTAACAAAGGTAAAATGTGGAGGTGGTTCTTTGAAGAATGTATCAGTACTGAAGTCTGAAGACTGTCCCATGTCACCCCCCTGCCACTCTTTGCTTTCATGTTCTTATTTTCTATTTCTTAAAATACATTTCTTCCCCATTTCAGTGTGGAAGATCCATACAGAAAACAGGGAGGACTGATTTAGGCTGTAGTTACAGAGGTGTAGTTGAATCTGGTCAAAGTCTACTGTTTTGGATAGGGAGTGGTTGCAGCTTTATCTTGCCCACGTTTATTCCCCATCACTGTCTTATGCTGGCATTAGCATTCATACAAGCAGGTGATCTGACTGGGACCCCTCCTGAGTCATCCAAATATGTCTTTTTGGCATCTGTACCATTCATATGGGATTATATTGATTATGGTACCAGGGTCTTAGAATGGACAAGTGTGACATACCAGATCTGGGCATGGAAAAAGCCCTGGAAGACATTTCTTTTTTTTTTTTTTTTTTTTTTTTTTTAAAGGAAGATGAATGAAACACACACTTCCAAAGCAGAAAAAGAACCTTTGGCTATCTCAGGGCAGAATTTGTCTTGCACAGTCTTGATTTTTCTTCTGGGTACTAGCCTAGAAAAAATGGCATCTGTTTGAGCATGATGCCTAATTCTTCTGCTTGGTATAGACTGAATGCGGATTTGGAGTTTTTGCTTTGTGTCCTTTCTCACAGTGGTCAACTTTTGCACCATCATAATGTCCACAGCTTTTGCAAGCCCTCTCCCTATAAATTAAATGTATGTGTGTTTGTGTGTAAGAAGAAAACAGGAACTAATTAATATGAGCTCATATTAGTAGCATAGTGATTATCTAATAATTTTCCTGGAGTCCTCCAAAAGAGCTGCAGACCTTGAAAATCTAAACTGGCTAATACATGACTAAATATAAAGTGCCACTTTACTGCGGGGTCAGTGTTACCCAGTTCAAGGTCCCACTTTCCCTGCACAGTATTTTGACCATGGTGGGCTAGGAGACCTGGATGGATTCTGTGGAATTGGCTGTTAGGGTAGCCTTACAGCCTATTTAGAAAGTATTTTTCAGGAATAAATCTTAGTTACCACTGGACTGTCTAAGCATTATATTTCTGCTTTATAAGTGGAGAGAAAAACAAGCTTGTGAAAATGAAGTGACTTTCCTATGGGAAGTCAGAAAAACAGTGGCAGACCTGGGGAAGTGGCTTTTATTTCCTGGTGCCATGTAGTGCACTGCAATTTATGCATCAAAAATAATCTCTAGAAGTGATTGCGTGCCTCTCTTCACCACCACCTACCCAGGCAGTGTGTTTACTTAACAGTATCCCAAGATACTGGAGTGACGCTGGTCCCGTATTTTGTCAAAATTTGAATCTCCTTATGAACAGCTGTGCAGCTCATGCCTCCGCAAGACGGCTTCAGGTCACTGCTGGACACAAATTACAAACACCTTTCTACCATACTAGTTCTGGTAGCTTTGGGTCTAAGAGAAGTGTCAGTTTGCTGGTATGAAACAGTCTTTACAGATTGCCTCACTGTGCAAACTAGGGAGGAAAAATGTAAACAGCAGAAATCTAACATGGTGAAAATATGTGAAAATGAATTTCCCTCCTGCTCTGGCCAAATGGTAGAAACAATATGAGTGTTTGGTGCTCCCATGTTTTAAGTAGGAAGCATGAAATACCACCTTGCATGAGAAGTTTGTATTTTATGTCTAACTAATTTGCATGCAAGAAAACTGCAGTAAATAGATGAAGACATTCTTGAACTAGATTTTACAACAGAAAAGGACAAGCTTTGATGGCTTTTATGCTATTCTAATTTTAGTATGAATTCATTTACTAAAATAAGGAAATACGCTCTTAGGAAGCCTTGCAAGAGGAAGGCAATAACAGTGACCAAATCTTAGCTGCCTTAATTTGAAAGCAATATCTGAACTGGATGTATTTCCTATTTTAAATAATTTAAGTGGCTTGTGTTTGTGTCAGATGAAATGGCATGAAAAATGTCAGACTTTTTAGCCTCGTATGCAGCTCATCTACCTGGGGACAATCCAGGACAGTTGATATAAATTATCTGAAGTTTTGGATTCAGCAGAGCAGTTAAACTACATTAAAAATCTTTGTAAATGCTTGCATTCAGAATTGAATATAACTTGTTTGAAGCTCTTCATGTGAGACTCGATGTAACATATTCCTTTTTAAAAACATTGTGAAAGAGGAAGCAGTTGATAGAGACACTATAATGTAT